ATTTTACATTTAATAAAAAGAGAATCTTCTACAATATAATTTAAAAGATCAGTATTGTTTATAAATCTTCCAAATCCGAATCCTAAAATTCGATCTTTAATAGGTCTTTGATAATAAATACCGTCATCGGTTATAAACGATTTTTTAAATTTTTTCTCTCCCAATAATGATATTGTTCCTTTTTTACTACTAAACGGCCATTTTAAAACAGCGTCATAAATGTGTGGCATTAAAACAACAAATATGCCAATATAGTCGCCATGTATCATTTCATTATGATATTCAAGATCCATATTAAAATTAATTCTTATTGACATTTTATAATTTTTATAAAAAAACGGTGCAGAAAAAAGAGTAGAACGATAATTATTCGAATTAATATTCATTCGTTTTACTATATCTTGAATTACAAAGATCTTTTGACCGTCAGGTAAACCATTTGGTTCTTCAAGAAAACTTACTCTAATATCTAAATCTTTTAATAACAAAAGAATTCTTAAATTTTCATTCATTTCATCGTTATCATCATCACTTCTTTTCACTAAATCTTCTAGTTGACTAACTCTAAATTCTAAATTTTTTAATTCGTCTTTTAAATTAGATTTATTGATAGTTATTTGATCATATTTATCAAATATTTCATGAAGAATTTCGTCATCTGAATCACTTTGTACACATTCAAGAAATTCGTCACCTGAATCACTTTGTACACATTCAAGAATTTCGTCATCTGAATCACTGTGTACACATTCTTCATTTTCTTTAACACTTGCATTGATTTCTTCATTATCACTTGCATCTTGTTTTTGATAACAAAAATCAGTTTTATTGTCATCCATTTTACATTGTTCACTTTGACACTGATTACCATTAAATACAATAAATTTGCAATTATTGTCCATCTCGGTCAGTGTTGCATTTTCCACATCTTTTATCAAATTGACACCATTCTCCATATTATTAAGAACTTTCTCTACCATTTCAATAAATTTACTAGGCATCTAAATAATAAATTACAAAAATAATTATATAAAAAAATATTAATGTCCTGTTGAACCAAAACTTCCCTTTCTTTCTTTATCAGATAACATAGATTGTATTTTCATTTGACTCCTTTTTGGACCCTACTCTCCTTCACAAAGGGGGGAGGGGCCTAAAAAAATTTTTTGGCCCCTCCGGGGCCAAAAAAAAGAGGGGAAGAGGGAAAGGGGAACCCCCACCCCCCCAGGGGGGAGGGAGAGGGAGGGGGGGAGGGAGAGGGAAATCTATGTTATCTTTTACAATCTATGTTAGGTAAAATTGAAGAAATACAAAACAGCGGATATAATTATGCTTACAACAAACACAAAGTATTAAAATCACAACCTATTAGCACTTTTAACGTACGAATGTTAAAAGAAGACGAAGAAATTTATTACACAGAATACGATAGACAATCTTCTGTGGAACCTGTTATGATTAATACTTTACTTAAAAGCGGTCAAACAAGATCTTTTAATCAAAATATGAAAAGAGCTGCACAAGATTTAGCTGCACAAGAAAGTAAAGAGTATAAGAAATCAAAACAACACGAAATTAAAGACGAAAAAAATGATGACGAATAAACTTTTTTTTAATTTTAAAAAAAATGTATTTCTATTTTTAATTTTTATAAAAAAACCAGTTATTATAAAAAAACATGTTTTTTATTTCCTTATAAGGTTTTAATATGAAGTCATATAGATTATTAAAAAAATATAAATACAAATCAAAATTTTCTATATATCATTTCAAAAAAAAAATGACTAGCAAGCAGGTTGAACAAACTTTAGAAAAAGCAATAAAGTTGTTTTATCCAGACAACGAACTTCATCCTATGTTACAAGAATTTCACCATTTGGAAAACAGCTATGAAGATTGGGAAATTATTATAAACGAATATTTAACTAAATGGAATTTACAACTGTTATTACCAAAAGAAGAATATATTGATTTGTATTTTATTTTTATTATCAAAGATTATCAAAATCATCAAAATTTATTTGAAAAAACTACGCGTAATTATTTTCAATTTCATGAACAAGGATCTAAATGGAAATCAGACATGTATGATTTTTGTAAATTAATCAACACTGATTTTTTAAGATGTACAGAAAAAAACAAAGAATTACAAAATGTGTACACAGAAGATAGCAACTTTACAAAGAGATACTTAATGTTGAAACGCAAAACTGATCATTTTATAAAAATATACAAGAGATATTATCGTAGCACTATTGACAACAAATGCACCTCTTGGAAAAATAAAATTAAATTATCATTACAATATTATTTTTTGTTTCCACATTTAATCGAAAATCATTCATACGAATATGATTTATTAAAGCGTAACAGTTTAATTTTGCGGGAAGAGTATCCTTCTTGTTTACAAAGATTAGTATTTTCGTACAATGATAAACTATTTCATAACGGATTTTATACTCTTTATACACCGACACCCATTTATTACTATTTCAAAGTTGAAAAAGTAAAAACTATGAACGATAAAGTCTACATATACAAATCGTTTAATCAATGTAATTTTTATGAAAAATCAATTATGGAAATGTTTCCTTATGCCAATTGGTTTTATTTTTTTAAAAGAAATTTTACCATTTCGAAAATATTAACTAGACGAGAAAATCGACTCTACGATGTCATTAAACAAGAAATTATCAACGATAAACCTATTCATAAAGCAGAACATTTTAATATGTATTATATAAACGCAAAGGAATGTTTTTAAAAAAAAAACAAATCATTTTTTTATTTTTTTATATTAACTGTATAATACGTTTTATTAACTAAAAATACATTATCAAAACATTTACAAGTTGTTTTATAAATTTCTTCACAACGATTATTTTCTCGCACTAGGTTAACTAAATCTTTATATTGTTCTCGTTTTTCATTGAAACCTTTAACATGATATATAAAGTCAATCAAATAACTTTTTAACATCTTTGTTTCATATTTACAGCAATGATCCAAATGTTCCCTTCGAAAAATTTCACCACCAAAATGAGCATTACACGGTATTTCATCATAGAAATAATTCATACTTTTAATTTTTGGAAACGCAAATTCGTTTAGATCAAAAAAATAAACATTTTTAAAACATTTTAAAATTGAAACTTCCATATTGCCACCTTTATAGAATATTAAATTTATTGGATATTTTTTAAAATAAGTTTCCAATTGATAGTATACATCTGTGCAAAAAATACTACTAGAGTTAGCCAATAAACTAGGATCATATGGCAAACCATGAATATATTTTTTACAATGATTAAAAGCTTTTTGATGTTTTTCTGCCAAGTTTTTATAGGGGATACAAGGCCAGACTTGTAGATGTAAGCAAAAATCTTCGTTTAATGCCCTTAAACAGATTTCTCTTATACAATTTTTTCCCCAAAAATGATCTTTTGTAAATTCATTATGAATATACTCGGTATCTAACAACCAAATCTAAAAAAATAACTCAATCAAATAAAAGTAACTCGTTCAAACGATATAGCTAACATTGATTTTATATTCGAAGTATTTGATATGAGTGTTACAAAAGTATTTAGTATGAAATATGATGATTTTGTATCAGTTATAAAGGATTCATTATCAATATGGTTGTTAGAAGAATGCGAATAAAAAAAAGACGTGCTCGTAAAGTTAAACGAAAACAACGCGCTCGTGGTTTATCAGACTATGTTACACCTCAAAATACAATATCTTTAATAATATTAACGTATGCGTTAGTATAACAACTGATACAATGTTCTTTTCTGTGATATCTTTTATTAGCATGTTCGCAATAACTATGTTTAAACAAACAACCCTCATCTAACGACATTCTTTTTTAAACTGTGAACAAGTTATTTAAATAACTTGTTCACAGAATCAGCGAATGGATTACTTAAACCGCCTCTTAATCTTCTAAAAACGTTACCGCCACGGTGTTTTTTACCTTTATTAAAAAATTAATATTTTTTATTTAAATATATGTCAAACATGTAAACGTTTACAGTTTTTTTCCCTTAAAAAATCTCATTTTTTTAACTTGTAAAAAGCTTTAAAAAAAAACTTATATATTTTTTAAAAAATATTTTGTGTCACCCGACACTGTCCTTACTTAACCTGCCTTACCTTACTTGTTTTTCTTAGTAGGCCTACTTATTATTTTTACTCTGTTGTTTTTTACAACCGGTTGTTTGTATCTTACTTACTTACTTACTTAACCTTACTTACTTAGTCTATTATTTTTGCCTTACTTATGCCTGCTCACCCGTTCGTACATACACGCTCGTTCACACACGCTCAGGACTCACCGAAAGTATGAGCTCTCAGTGGGGACAATCATCAAGTAACAGTAGTAACACCGTAACTCAATGTGTTTTAACATATAGGACTCACCGAAAGTATGAGCTCTCAGTGGGGACAATCATCAAGTAACAGTAGTAACACCGTAACTCAATGTGTTTTAACATATAGGACTCACCGAAAGTATGAGCTCTCAGTGGGGACAATCATCAAGTAACAGTAGTAACACCGTAACTCAATGTGGTTAACATATAACTAACTAAACTAACTAGACAGACGTCATCAAGCGTTTGCTCAATGTGTTTATACATATAATGTTAAAGCCGTAAAGTTATAGAGAGATTCGAACCCTGGACGATCGGTTCATGGCGGTTTTCAACATAGTGCGGAAATGATACGATGCACTATGCTACGTCGACGTGTTGTTTAAGCGTGTTTTGAATTCATTTAAATTGTCATTTTAACACTTTACGTAGAGATTTTTTTCTACACAGAGTTTTTTTTAAAGTTGTTTACGCACATTTTAAGGGAAATTCCCTGGGAAATTCCCTATATAATCCTGAGTAAATAGTAAGATTAAAAGTTTCTAAATATAACTTGTTTGTCACAAAAACTCTTTTGTTTTACTTAATCAATAAAGATTAAATATTTTTTGTATAAAAGCTGCATTTTTTTATATCAAAAAATCAAATGGCGATTACAAAGAGAATTACAAAAAAAAATATGAAAAACATAGAAGTTATCGTTATTGATGAACAGGCGCTGGAATTTACTCCTGTAGACTTGACTGCAGAAGATTTTTTAAAAGAATTAGAAAAAAAAACAGTTAACGAAATTAAAAATGAAATTATGGAAAAAGGATCATCGGAACAAAACGTTCATTTACAAACTAAAAAAGTAAGATATTTTTATATAAAAAAATTATTCTTTTTTTAACTTGTTTTAACTTGTTAAAAAAATAATTTTTTTATTGTTTTAGAAAAAGAGCAAATACAAGCTCAAAAGAAATAGAGCGAGAAAAATAAAATTTTTGCAAAAGCAAATTCAAGACGGACTTGAATATTTAAAACAAAATTGTAACTAGTTTTTTTTGTAATTAGTTTTTTACAATAAAATATATTGTTTATTTCTTTTTTTTTTTTTTTAACGCTGCATTTCTTTCATGTTTTCGATTAACGTAAGCATCGTTTGATATTTTCCATCGTTTTACTTTTTTACCAACGCGTCCTAATTTACGATTAGATTTGTTATCTTTATATGTTTTTTTAGTTTTTCGTAAACATACTAATATATTTTTACAATTGCTTGGTATCCCTACAATTGACTTTTTTTTCAAATTATTTTGTATTTTTTTATTTTTAATGTTCCTTTAGTTTTGAGTGTATTGAGAAATGTATTTTCTCAAAGCAGCCAAAACTAAAGGTATAAAAAATAAAAAAAAACAATGGAATGGAACTTTTATATTTTTAATGTCCCTTTAGTTTTGAGTGTTTTAATAAATTTATTTTCTTAAAGCAGCCAAAACTAAAGGTATAAAAAATAAAAAAAAACAATGGAATGGAACTTTTTTAATGTCCCTTTAGTTTTGAGCTTATTAAGAAAAATTTATTTTTCTCAATAAAGCCAAAACTAAAGGTATAAATAAACAATGGAAGAGAACACTTTTGTTTTGTTTACAATTATTAAGAATATGAGATTACTTTTTCTATTCAATAGATAAAGCAATTTCGTATTCATAACAATGTAACATATTTTACTGAACAGCTGTCATTGCAATCGATATATATTAAAAATAATAATTTGTATTTTTTTACTTTTATTAATAAATATTTTTTTTCATATTGTTTTTTTATACTATGTTAACCCTATTTGACTATAATTTTACCTGTAATATTACATAATTTTACCCATAATATTTAAAAAAAAAATTTTATATTAATTTAATACTTTTTTTAAGCAACTAATTATACCAAAAAAAATGGCTGAAGCTATGGAAAAAGAATTATGTTATTATTGCAAGCTACCCTTTACTATTGATCAATTACTAAATCATCAATTAAAATGTAACACATCACAAGATTATGATTGTTTTAGCTGCGGAAAAAAAATTAAATTGTCAGATACTTGGGAACATGAATGTGAAATTTATCACGAGGAACGCGTAGAAAGAAATCAAACTAAATTATGTGTGTTTTGTGGAAATCAAATTCAAAAAAACTACTATGATCAACACGCTATTGATTGTTTACATCGTTTTGAAAATGAATGGAAAGAAGTAATGGAAAAACAAAAAAATATTATTATGGATCAAAAACAAAGTTTAACTTTTTTAAACATGACTAATAATAACATTCTGAACAGTTTAGCAACTGTCAACAAACAAATAAACGCATTAACCAAACAAATGGACAACATGGGTTTGGAAATAAAAGAGTTTGTGAATAAAAACACATTTGAAAAAATATTGAACAACGTCAGCTTGGAAATGAAAGAATTTGTGAATAAAAGCACATTTGAAAAAGAATTGAAACTATATGATAATATATTAAATTATAATAAAGATATCAACGACAAATTCATGTCTGATAATTTAATTATAGAATTGGACCAAATGGATTTAAGATTGCAATCTAACGAAGCTTATCATACTCAACCTTCTTATACTGTAGACGGTTATTTCTACCGATTTAAAATTTTTGGTTACAGTAATCAAGAAGATAAAATGGGTATTTATTTTCAATTGATACAGTCTCCAAAAGATCATTCTTTAAAATGGCCATTTATGAAAACTGTAACATGTACAGTTAAAAACGAATATATTGAAAACACAAAAATAATAGCCAATTATAGCGAACCGTTAAAAGAATGTTTTGAAAAACCTGCTCAAGCTTATAACCGAGCTATTGGAACAGATAGTTTTGCAACGCACGAACAATTAAAAAGACATTATATAAAAAACAATAAACTTATTATACACGTTTCTTTTATATAATGTATTTTTTATATTATATATTTTTTTATATAATGTTATATTTTTTTTAGAATAATAAAAAAAATGAACAGTTCAATCATGAGAGATTTAGCTGACTACATCACTACGTCTGATGTAAAAAAATTAAAAATGTTTTTAGAAATACCGTACGGAATAAGAGAGAAAATTAAAGACGGACTAGATTTAATGGAATATCTACAATACAAAGATTTCGTGTATCAAAACTATGAATACAATACTAACGAAGCTAAAATCAAACTTATTTTAAATTTGTTAAATGAAATCGGTAGAAAGGATATCTATAAAAAGTTTATAGTTAAATTTGAAAATCCGCCATCATACGAAGAAAGTATAAATCCTCCACCGTATGCAGAACTGGATAATCGAGACAGATCCAATATAGATTTTCCAAACTTTAAAGTAGCAGATCCATTTTTGGCAATAAACGCAAAATGTAATACTCCGTCGTATTATCCGCCTGAAGTTATTTGTTTAAAACAAAAAGAACTTTTGAACTATTATAATAAAAAATAATTTTTTTAAAAAAATTTTTTATGTCCTTTTTTTTTTAATTTGTATATATAAACTTTTTGTAAATACTTATTATATAAATTGTTTTTTCTGCTACTAAGCAACATAATTTAGTCATGTAATCTTTTTTTAATATTTATATGGAATGTATAGATTGGTTATTTAAACAACATGAATATGTTATTAATCTTTATTTTAAACCTAATAGAAACGACATGTATGATTTTATTTAACTTTTTATTTTAGAATAAAAAAAATGAAACTAATTACTGGAGACGATCAAGACTTTTTATTTTTTAACAGAGAAGAATCCGATATAATGACAAAATTTTTAAATGTGGAACATGAAAAGATTAATGATCCATCAACATTAAAAGCGTTTGGCAATATATTATTAATGGTACAAGAAGAAGTTTTAAAACAAACAAACTATTTTAAAAACATTGAGAAAACAGAAGAAATTAAACGAGACTTTTATAATTTTGTAAAACAAGTATTATCAAAATAAATTTTTTTTTATTTTTTTTTTAGATTTATAACAAAAAAAAATGAAACTTGTTAAAAATGATCAAATCAGATTTGTTAGTTACAACCCTCAAGAAGCAAGAATACTAATAAACATAGCAGAAGACCGATACGGATCAGATAGTTGTAGAGTGTTGGCAGAATTTTATCGTATTGGTGTTATTATAGACGAAGAAATTCAAAAACGTACGAACAATTTTACAAATAAAGAACTCTTTGAAAATATCAATAACAGTTTTGAAAACTTTGTTAAAAGTTTATTATGAGAATAAAAACAAAATTTTACATTAATAAATTTTTTCATTTAATATATTGTCTCTTTCCTTTTTTATAATATGATAACATTCCAATACATCTTTTTGCAAATATAATCCTCCAACTAATCCTTTACAATAATAACACAATTGTTGAACTATTATTTTTAAACTATTTACATAGTTTATTTTTTTATACAATTTATCTATACACGTAAAATAATAATAAAATGTTTTTAACACATCAAGACAATGTTCAATGACTTCACTATAATTATGAAAACACGTGTCAGGATAAAATACGCGATGCGGAAGACATTTAAATAGCAAATCAAGAACTTCTATCAACTCTTTTTGATATGTCTTTATCAATTTTAAATCTTTAATATAAAAACCGTATACTCTTTTACAACTATCCAATTCGCTTTCTTCAGCTAAAAGAACTTTATCCATCCAAACACCTTGATTTAAATGCGTTTCCTGTAAATGTTTTTTTAAATCTAAATTAAGTTGATATAAATATAACAAACAATCGTCCGTCGCATCAAAAGACATTTTGATAAATAAATTTTTTATTTACATGTATACAATTTATTTACAAATATATTTTTATATACAATAACAACAACCGCGGCACCGCTCAAATAAATCTTGTATGTACGGGCACACGGTTGTTGCGCAACAATGATTATGTTCGCTCTCTTCGCCTTTACATAAACAACATCCAAAACAAACCACTCGTCTAGTTGTTAAATCTCCATTTAGTGAAAAATATCGTTCATTTCGATTCATTATGCCGTCGTTTAAATGACGATCAATACGAATCATAATACCATCGAGTATGCGAACTTGTTCTAAAAAAATTATTTTAAACTAAATATTTTTTAAAAAAAAATTATTATAAAAAAATTTTTTTTAATTTACCATCGTCTATTTCTGGAATATCGTCGTAGATTTCCAATTGGTCTTCGTATGTTTCCTCATCTGATTCCTCAAGTGGTCTTGTTTCAACCACTTGAGGTACATAATTTTGAGGCGCTTTATAAGCATTTTCGGGCACATAGGGTTTAACAACCTAGAAAGAAATACACATCCATTTTAAAAAAATACAAAACATTTATTTTAAAAAAAGAAAACAATAAACTTACAGCTACAGGTTTGACAAATAATTGACGTTTGACTTTTATTTTTTTACTTTCCTCAATTTTTTTTACTTTACCCATTTTTTTATGTTGTAAGAAACAATTATATAATTTGATAAAATGCCTTTTTATATTTTTTATAACGAATATAATTAAAAAGCATTTGCTTTTTTTATATATTTTTTTTATAACGCTTGATTAACTTTAAACAAAAAAAATTTAATTTCTTTTATTTTAAAACATTATCGGATTATAACGTTATGACGTTATCGGATTATGACGTTAGTTATGACGAAGGTCGGGATGGAAGGTTGGGAGGAAAGTGAGTAAATCCTATATAGGTATATCATCAGACACCATTTGAATGCATATTTGCTGACTATTTTGAATTCCGTGGCTGGGATTATCTGGTCATTGGAGATGACCAGATAATCCTAGAGACTTTCTGGATGGACCGAAGCCTACAGAATAAAATCAGGAGCATCAGAAATGAGTGCAAAAGGTCTTATCACGTGCATACGTAAACTATTAACAACATTTGAAGTCCCAGAAGAAATTTCAACCAACGGTGGTCCTCAATTCACCTCTGGAGAGACAAAAGAGTTTACAACAATGGGGTATAGCTCATCGCATTTCATCAGCCCACCACCCACAATCTAATGGAAGAGCTGAGCTTGCAGTTAAGTCAACAAAACGCCTCCTCGAAAATAATGTGGGACCAAACGGTGATCTCAATAATAACGCTTTTGTGAGGGCAATGCTTACAATAAGAAACACACCAGTTGTCCCTACTTGTCAGTTATCCCCCGCTCAAGTGTTATTTGGCCATCCCATTCGCGACGCCATGCCCAGGATAAAATCCAGAATACCTATGTTTAACAACGACCAATTCTTGAAAACGTTGAGACATGCATGGTCTGCAAAAGAAGAAGCATTACGAACGAGATATGCAAAGACCCTTGAATCACTTCAAGAACACACACGTTTTCTCACACCACTACATTAAGGAGACAATGTCTTCATACAAAATCAAGTAGGGAACCACCCTAAAAAATGGGATCGTAGTAGAAAAGTTGTTGAATGTAAGGAAAATGACCAATACATCATTAAGATTGAAGGAACCGGTCAACTAACTATGAGAAATAGAAAATATTTGCGCAAATTTCTCAACCCACTAAAGTCATACGAAACCGAAGTTGCATTGACCACACCACCAAAAACAAGCTCTAGTCACTATAACTCTGCCAATTCGCCAACACCATTTACAGAGTATGTCCCAGAAAGTAGCAACAAAGTCACACTATCCCAACCGGAACTATCACCTTCTGCAGTGTTGCTACCGCCTCCTACATTAGCACCAGCAGTACCTCCACTACCTCTCCCAACAACTCCAGTATCCTTTCCGTTGATGCAAGCATCTTTATCAACAAGCTTGCCGCACTAGCAATGCCACACTTATTGAATACTGAAGTCGTAGGAGATCAACCATTGAAACGTTCATCCAGGTTACGTATCCCAAAGAATTTCTACAAAACAGAAACCGGAAAGTTTTTGACATTAGATGATTTTAAGAAATGAACCCAGAAATTATGTTTATATTCATTGACACTTAAAAACATGGAAGGGGATGGTGAAATAGTGACATTAGTCATTTCTTGTTTTTATATTGTTTTTATATTGTTTTATATTGTTGTTGTTTACACTTATTGTTATTTCATTTAGAAACTAACATTGTTTAAGATATAATTATAATTGAGAACAACGACTAACTTTTGTTTAAAACTAAGTTTTAAACAAAAGTTAATAAAATTAAATAAATAATAAATTTCCCACAATTTGCTACTAAACATCAACCAGCATACCTTGAGGTATCGATTTTAAACCATTCTTAAACAAAAATTTCGCTTGGGCTAAAGTCATCCCATAGGGCCAAAAGCCATCCCATCTTACGGTACGCTTTGTTCGAAAAGTAATTCTCCTTTATTCTAATGTACTTCATTCCTTCTCTTAGGCGTTCACAACTCGTGTGTAACAATTCGGAGAATTTTATATGACAAAGCTTTTAAATAACAGATGTAGAAGTTAATGATAGTTAGAATATTTTTTATTCGCATAATACAAACAACTTCGAAAATATTAATTAAAAAAACAAGCTATTTATTCTGATTTTGTCTTAAGAATATATATAATACTAATTTGATCTTATAAAAAAACTTAGAGGAGGAGGGGGAGCGAGGCGCAAATGGCTACTTCCTCTTAAATTAAGTTAAGTTTCTTGAAACTACTGATCAAAATTATGTCACGTAACCTTGAATGCTAAATTGCTAAATGAAACTCTAGTTTTATTTTTGTACGGGGGATAAAGCCGGAAATATGTCAATTTACCATTACCCTTTTAACAAAATTGTAGTAATGTTGCGAAACTTGGTACAAAACCTCCTGAATCTGAAAATCATAAACTTATATCTCTCAAAACAATAAAATATAGTTTATTTTTAGATCCACAAAACGCACTTGTTAATGACAATAAAAAAGGCAGGTACAATCGGCGGGGCGGATCAGCGGGGCGGATCATTTTAACGGTACAAACGGCGGGGCGGAAAATTTAAACGTTGCTAATGCAAGACATACTTCATTAAATAAAATAAAAAAAACTTTTTTAATTTTTTAATTTATTTGAAGTATTTTTAATAGATTTAGATATAGGGTCGTTTCCACACTTAGCGTGAGTCGACACTTATCGTAGGTTTTAAATATTAACATAAATTTTGCAATAAATAGTAATTTTTTTATATATATATTTTGTTTATCAACAACATCGTCATGCACTTCTATTACAAACATAGAAACCGCAATACATACTTATATGAACTCGGTGGGTTTATTACGTCAGCCTATGAAAATACTTTTTTTTACCAGCTGTTAGAAGCGTTTCAAATAAAACAAGCTAATTTAAGAAGATAACATAAAATTTTATTTCTAAACTAATTTTATTAGGTAAATAAAACATGGATCATTATTAATATTATTAAAACCACTCATCATTATAGTATCAATGTAGTACTTTTAAATGTACGATAAGTATGAACTAAAAAAATTTCATTCCATATATATCGTATGTCCAATAAATAATCAACTTGGTATTTTTTTGCATAAAAAAAAAAAAATTTCACTTAGATTCTTTTACAATGGCAAGACAAAAATATAAGACAAAAGTTTGTAGCTCAAAACGAAGACTTCAATATACAGATAGCTCTCATCTGAAACATATAAGACCACAATTTTACCTGATGAAATACAACAGGGTAATAAAAATCTATCAACAACTTGTAATTTAGAAAATGTGCAAGTTAAAACCGGTATGGAAATGCCTGATTGCAATATTGCAGCGGTAATAGAACCAAAACCAGCTTGTTCTAGTTTAAAAATAGCAGCAGAAATCACAAATCCAATAAAAAGTGTTTTAATATGGCCAAAACAACTAGTCCAAACGTCCAAGTAGAACGCTTACCATCGGTTGTAACATTTAAAATGTGGCAGCAAATTCAAAAGACAAAATTGCAAGAAAAGTCACGATTAAATGATGAAAAATTCTAAATAGAGGAAGAAAGATTAAGAAAGAAACAAATGGCTATGGAGAAAATGTTATTAAATGAAAAAACTAAAAAAGAAAGAGAAAAACATGAAAATTTTGAAAAAGAAAAAGAAATTCGCAAAAGAAAAAGTAAGCCTTGAAACTGAGTCAGAATACGAGTTCCATTGTTAACAATAATTATAATATAAGACTCAGATAATTATGATGAAATTCTATCCTTTCCAGTTTAAAAGATTTGTACTAAAGTAATGGAAATGCTTTAAAAATTTTTAGTTTTAATTCAAAATAATATTTTCATTACTACATAATTAATGTTTATTTAATAGTCTTTTTTTTTAATTTATATACCTAAAAACGTTTATTAAAATGTTACTAATGTATTAAATTTTCATTTAAAACCGCGAGCGCATTATAAACCAGCCACTAAAGCAGATTTTAAGATATACGATAGGTGTCAACAATATATACGATAAGTGTGAAACACTTACGATAAGTATAGAAAACTGCACTTTAAAAGTTTGATCAAAATAAGTACATTATTGATTTAAATTTCAGAGTGAGAATAATTTTAAACTAACCCTTATAGTACTACATTGATGGCTGCAAAAATTTATTTCTGGTATTTTGGTAGGAAAATTTTTATAACTTTAAGAGTTTGATTTAATCGATCGTAATATTAGGCGGATCACTTTGTAAAGTTTGGCGGATCACTTGATATAAATTGGCGGATCGCTTTGTATTTTGGTAGAACAATCATTAAAACTTAAAGAGTTTGATATAAGCAATCAAAATATTAAGCTGACCACATCATAAAGTTTGGCGGATCACGTTGTTTCTTGGTAGAACAACGTGATCCGCCAAACCTTTTCGTCGTTTATTAAAATTATAATTTGCAAATACCTTTTAAATATTATTTCTTTAATGAACTTAAACTATATCTGAATCTATAAAAAATACTTATCAAATAAATAAAAAAATAAAAAAAGGTTTTTTTTATTTTATTTAATGAAGTATGACTTTATATTTATATGATTTTATGACTTTATATTTATATGATTTTATGATTATATGACTTTATATTTATATTATTTGTATTATAAATTATCCGCCCCGCCGTTTGTACCGTTAAAATGATCCGCCCCGCCCCGCCGATTGACAACTATAGTTCTAGAAAAAATCTGTCTGATGAAATAAAGTTTTTGTTTTCGTTATTTTAAATATTAAACATATATCTACTTTGCGAACCAATTTTTATTTGGCTTTATGTTTTATCAAAGGGTTATTGATGTTTTAGTTTTTCAATTTTTTTAAAGATATTTTGCAAAAAAAAAAAAAATTTGCAAATATATTTTGAATACAAATACAATTATTTTTGTTTTGTAATAGCTTTGTAAAAAATTTACAAAGTTATTACAAAACATAGTTAAACATTTTATAAATTTGTTTCTTTTTACTTTCATTACTTAATAATAATGTCATTTTCATTACATAATATCATGTCATTAAATTTAACAATATTATGTAACTTTTGTTGTTGATTGTTTTGTTGTAATAAAACATTTATTATCATCAATAAAAAAAGTAATAAAATGATATAATAATGTCTAATTAACATTTCCATGTTAAGTTACATATGACTAAATAAAATTATATTTAGTTATCTTTTACTTTTACACAACTTTTTGTATGTAGTTAATGGAGAATTTACAATAATTAGTAGATCGTTAGGCATTTAAAATATGTCTATTAAACTAATAGCTACTTGTTCAAGCAATATGTTCTTTATAAATACATATTGATATGATATTGTTTGTGCTCAAGTGTACATTTCTTGTTAGGGACATTAAGATTATTAAGGATTTCTTGTATTAAGTGTTTAGACAGAGATTCGTCATTATATTTTTATATGGATAACAAAATTAATTGCTGCTTTGTAAATAATTATGGAGCTTGTTATAAACAATCATATACTCAAGAAAGAAATCTGATTGAAGATATTGACAGCAATGATCGTAAGCTACTTGAAAAACGAACAAATCTGAAACAAGAACAAATTACTAATATATGCACACACCATCATGATATGTTAGTTGTAAGATATGAGGGTAATCAGAAAAGTTGCTGTAATCCATTTCTGAGTCACCAAAAAATGTGTAGAGGTAAAAATTTATATATTTATATTTCATTAGGTAATATCATTATTAATAAGTCATATAAGTTTTTTTGGTAATAAGATTTGTTCAATGTTTCATAGATATTAATATAACAAATTGTATAGTAATATAATTACATAATATATATAATTAATGTTATTTAAGTAATGTAATTACTTTCTTTTTAAGCATCTCTACGTGTGATTACAATGCATACTGTGTTAGAAGCAGAAACCATAGGTTTAAATCTGTTAAAATTAAATTTTGTGTCCAACCTGTCAAAGTAAAGTTATGACATGTTTATCAAAAAGTATAAGTGAAAATAAAAATGATGAAGATTTTGATATTGCTAATGAAAGATCTATTCAAAATAAAAAAGAAAGTGTAAAATCAGAGAGGTAAACAAAAATTGACAGCATTAACAACCTCCATTAAAAAAAAGATTAAAATTTCCCTTAATATATCAGAAGAAACTTTTGAAGAACAGTCAGGTTTTAATAATGAGTATATGGAAAAAGCAAACTTGTTTGATAACGTGATGGTATTGTTAACTAACAAAATTGCAGAGTCTACATCAACATGAAAAAAAGTACAACTTGCGACACTTGCTCCAACAGACTGGTCAATAAAAAAGGTATCTGAAACATTGCATGTAACAAACTATATAGCTCAAACTGCACGTAAGTTAACATTAGAAAAAGGTATTTTAACTATGCCTAATCCTAAATTAGGAAAAGCTCTTCCTGATGTAACAGTTCAACTGGTCAAGACCTTTTGTGAAGACGATGAACATAGCCATATAATGCCTGGTAAAAAGGACTATGTAACCATAAAGAAAAATGTCCACATGCAAAAACGTTTGCTCTTATATAATTTAAAGGAATTGTTTGTTGCCTTTTAAACCAAGAACCCAGAAATAAAAATTTTCAAGGTTTTGCACCTTGCAACCTAAATGGTGTATTACTGTTGGTGCCTCAGGAACACATTCTGTATGCGCCTATTCATCAGAATTTGAAACTGCTTTTACATCCTCTTGGTGTGACATACAAAGAATTGTTACCTTATATTGTCTGTGATATAACTAATAAAGACTGTATGATGAGGAAATGTGAAAAATGCCCAGCAACTATGAATGCATTGGTTGAAAAACTTTATGATATACTTGGAGAATTTGAAGATGATGATGAGTTTGAACTTGATCAATGGACAACAACAGATAGGTCAAACTTGACATAATAAAGAGCCAGTGTTTGAATACATTGAACTAGTATGTAGAAAACTGGAAAAACACCACATTCGTATTTAGCAAAGAGTCAAGCATTATACCTGAGATCAAGAAAGGAAGATATGAATGAGGTAACAGCATTATTTCTGGGTGATTTTTCAGAAAACTATAAATTTGTAGTTCAGGATAAAGTGCAAAGCTTTCATTGGACAAATTTACAATGTACACTTCATCCAGTGATTATTTATTTCAAAAAAGAAGGCATTCTCAAGCACAAATCCTATTGTATTATTTCGGATGATATGATCCATGATGTGAACATGGTTTATAAAATTATTGAGGTTGTTTGCAATGATATAAAAACAAATTTGCCTCAAATAAAAAATATTGAATACTTTTCAGATGGTGTGCAGATCAATATAAGAATTGCAAAAATATGTTAAATCTTTGTTTTCATTGTGAAGATTTTGGTTTTACTGTTAAATGAAACTTTTTTGCAACTAGTCACGGTAAGCAACCTTGTGATGGGATAGGTGGTACAGTCAAACGTCTGGCAACACTAGCAAGTTTGCAAAGAGATATGGGTAATCATATTTTATCTTCACAAACAATGTATAAATATTGCAATGAAAACATTGAAGGCATAAATTTCATATATATTTCATCAGAAGATTTAACTTTGGTGAGAACCACTCTTAAAGAACGATTGGATACTGCTAATACAATACCTGGAACACGTAGTTACCATCAGTTTGTACCACTTGGCCATCAAAAGGTAAATTATTATTTTTTAATTATACCTTTTACCATATTTTAAAATACACGCATAACTTTTATTGATAAACTCAAATAGATATTAGATTTTTGCAGAATCATTATCAAAAATATTTGTATTTTATTTTATTTCCTTTGCATTTGCTATCTATGCATTTAATAAAACATGTTTGATAAGTAAAACGGAATAATTGCATATGTTACTATTTTGTTTAGGTAGGCACTAAGCTATGCAGTGTTGATGAAGAATTTGCTTTAATTCATGACTGGAAATATCCAGATAACAGCTGTAAACCTAGTACCAGGTGATTATGCCTGTGTTTCCTATGAGCAAAAGTGATGGATAGGAGTCATTGAAGATATTAATTTAGAAGAAAAAGATGTGCTTGTAAAATTTATGTGTCCTAATGGTCCTGCACGGTCGTTTAAATGGCCACCAAAGGAAAGCCAATGCTGGATTCCTGATGTCCACATTATTTGCAAAGTTGAGGTACCGATAACAAAAATAGGACTTTGCTACTATTTAGCCAAAGAGGACTTAAAATTATTTTCCTAAGGAAGTAGAGATTTTTATATTTATGAGTCTATTATGTCTTATCCATTCTTTTTTTAAATATTATATTTTGTGAACCAACTTGTAAATAATGTTAATGTAAAGCATATATAAAAACAACAGAAAATTATATTTTTTGGTTATTTTTGCTAAAAAGAAACAATTTCAAAATCAGCCAAATTCGTAATTTTTACGCGTTTATTCAAACATCAAAGAAACTTTTGAACTCAGTTGATTATTAAAAGATAAAACAATTTATTGCTGTTTTTATTCTTTTTAAAGGACAAAATTATCTGTAATATTTCAAAAGTTATAGTATTACCCCTTGAATAACTTATTAAAAAAAATAACAAGAAGCCGTATGTCCATCTGGAAACAGCCGTGATCCACTGTGGGGCGGTTACATACAAAAGGGTGGCCATAATCATTTTCTTATTAACTACACAAAGTTATTATAATTTTCAAAAAAACCATATAGCAAAGTATGTATGTTAAAAAACTTCACAAAATTTTAATCCGTAGTTTCAGAGAAATTTAACTTCATACACAAAAATTTTTTTCGAGACATTTAAATTCCACCATTCCTACTCGTATGGCACCCCCTCCTCACTTAAAAACTACTCGTGCTGGCCCTGCTTTCAAAGATATGTATGCATGAATATCTCAGCACTGACGACTGAACTACAAATCAACATTCTAACATACATTCATTTTTAATAGAGAAATAGATGATACCGTGTTTTCCTATCTTGTCTATACTCTATAAAATCAACTTGACTCTTTCTTTTACGTCTGTTTATGATGAGAGTAGTCTCAGTAGACTATAGATTGAAATTTATCTGTGATCAAAAATGGATTGACTTTAGTTTTAATCAAATGTGAGCTTACTGAGAGCATTGACTTTAAATTATCAATAAATTATTTTTCTTCAATCCAGCGGGCACAGACGTCCGTAAGACGTCTATACAACGCCTTATAGACGTCACAAGTCAGTATAATGTTTATAAGACTTCAAACGAACGTACTGCACCTGCTGAAAATGAAGTCTTGCAGAAAAATGTTTGTATAAACTTGCAGGAAAGTAAACTTTTTTCAAAATGCTTGCTTTTAGTAATATGTATAGTGTGATTGCATTTTTAAATAACTAAATTATTGTAATAATATTTGATGTTTCTTTTTTTTTTTTTAACGAATAATGTTAACAAAAATAAGTTCAAACTTTAGGTTGTTTAGTGTCTTAGACGTACTTAATAGTTTTGATAAAAGTAACATTAAAACATCAATAAAATAAATTTATCACAAATGCGAATCTCTAAAGACGTTTCCAGGGGTTATTGTGCTAGGGATAAATAATAAATATGTTTTCCTAACTTTTCGGTTGCAAAGTGATATTTTACTTTACTATAAAAGTATCATAATAGAATATTTTAATATACTATTTTATGTTTAATTTAAATATACCGACATGTTTTATGTTTCTTTTATTATTCTTTTAGTGTTCAAAAGTTGTGACTAAGAAAAATTTGCAGCTCATTTGAGGAAGGGTGGAAAATTCACATAACTTTTGTCATAACTTTTTAAAACTAAAAGATGATTAAATAAAATTCAAAACATGTTGATGAATTAAAATTAATATATGATAGAAAACTAAAATATTTTATCAACTCATTACTCTCACGTTTGGGCTTGGAGCTGCAACCTATTTGGGGTATTTTTGCAATTTTTTGTAAAACAATCTTATTTGACATAAATATGAACACAGAGGCAATTTTACGTGTGTGAGGGGTGGGGGGTGGGGAAAGGGGGAGGGGAAGGGGGAGACTGGGAGGGGGTTAAGTTTTAACAAAACATAAAAACAAAAACATAAAACTAACAAAAAATACTAAATTTCGGTATTAGACAAACAAAAGACATCAATTAAAAAAGAAAACTATACAAAAAAACTTAAGCTTCGTCGATTAACTTTACTGTTAAATCACGGTAGGCACATCAACATTTTTTTTATAATGTAAAATGAAAACAAAACAAACTCCATAAGTTAGAGCTAAACATGATCAGTTAAAAAATAACAAACTTATCGTTATATTATTATTAGTTGAAAACTTATTAAACTTTTAAACCACAAAATTTAAGATTTTTTTTGTATGACTTTTGAGGTTTTTAGCGATTTAACGTTTTTAAGAACCGCATCAGCGTTTCCATTTATTTACAAAAGTAACAATAAACAAGACCGTTACGATTAAAAACTAAGAATATAATACCAATAAAAACTATAGTAAATGGACTTTTAATGAATAGGAAACAACCCACGTTTGACATAATAAATCTGTGACAGTACTTTTTTAAAAAAAATTTATTTAATGGTAATGCAAAATAGGTTTTCCAAATCAATAAACTGGTTTTAAAAACTAAACTTCCGTCTTGAAAATTGACGAGTTGAGTCTTAAAAGTTGACATGTGCTAAAAAAAATTTTTTTTTAAAGTTTACTTTATGGTGGGAGGCATATTTTTTGTTTGATCAACGCTTACCATTCAAAAACATGCACATTATAAGCTAAATATAATGCTATAGCTGATTTTTTTATTATATTAAAAAAACACTAAATGCCTTCAAAAATATTTGGGTTATAAAATGACCTTAGTTTTTGATTCAAATTATCACTAAAAACGAAAATCTCAATAAAATATTTTTGGTACTGTTGATAAGCTGGGGTTCTACTTTTTGGAATAAACAAATAAAAAGTTTTTGTATTTTAAGTCATCGGATGCACGATTGAAGAACATACACCTCAAACTTTTTTGTCGGCATAAAACCTAAGATCTAATTTCTATAGCCGTGTTTTATCGATTATCGATATTACACGCTCAGATGTTGAAGTGCCTAATCATGGAAGTATAAAACAGATGGAAGTTCATCGAGCCGCAAACATCAAAAAAACAAGTTTCACTGGATAAAAAAACAACAAAATTCACTGAAATGATCTTTATTTAAAAACTAAAAAATTAATTGTTCTAGGGATATGCTGCAAATTTTTAACCATTAGTAATTGCAATTATTCAGCAAAAGGTTTATTTAAACTCGGTAATTAAATAAAACCACTTGATTTTAAAAGCATTTGTTAGTTTAAGCTTCTTTTCTTGCTTCAAGTCATAACACGACATTTGATAAAAAAGACAACTAAAACAATTTTTAAAAAATCAAAAAAATTGTTTTCTAAATAACTAAAGTTTAAAGTTTTATTAGCTGTATATCATAACTCCATTCATTCTTGTAGTACTCCGTTCATTTAATATGAAGTTTGTAATAATGTTGTTGTTTGCCGTTTTGTTGCGCCATTTTTAATGTTTTTTCTTAATATTATTGGCGAACCTTTATTTTTAAATTACAGGGTTTTGCAAAGTTATAAGTGCACGTTTGCAAAGTTATAAGTACACGTTTGCAAAGTTATAAGTGCACGCTTGCAAAGTTATAAGTGCATTTATAAAGTTAATTTTAACTCTTATATTTTAAATATCAATGGAAAGAAAAGTATGGAAAACAATTACAAAAGAAACTAAAAATACGATTATTTCAATAAGAAATTGTGAAAAATATCCAACGTTTGTAATTTAACTCGAAATGCTGTTGGTCGTGTTATAAAAAATAGTGATAATAATATACCCTTCACGTAATCTACAGTAAAAAGAAAAGAAACGTATAAAATCTAAAGTTCTATAAATACAAACATTGAACAGACAATATTTAATTCCGTGGTCTGTAACAATGCCGTAGCTCAAAAAGAAATTTAAACGCAATTTTTAGAACAACATGGTAAAAACGTTTCAATTTCGTTTGTTTCCCGTAAATTAAAGAAATTAAATTTGACACGAAAAAGATTAGCAATCATTCTTCAAGAAAGAAACACCATGGAAAGAATAAATCATAGATCAATTTTTGCGGCAGAAATTGCTAGAATTGCTGATTCAAATTTGGTTTTTGTAGACAAAACCGGGTTCAATAAACATACAGTGCGCTCATATGGCTATTCTCCAAAAGATACAAAAGCGTACTTGACAGTTCCTGCAAATAAAGGACAAAATTTAGCCTCATGTGCTTAATTTTCAATTTAGGAGTTGAATGTTACCAATGCAAAAGGGGCGCATACAATACACAATCATTTATTGATTACATCAACAACAATATAGTACCATTCTTTCCAGTAAATCCAAATAAAATTCTTATCCTAGATAATTCAAAATTTCATAAAGCAGCTGCAGTACTTCAATTACTAAGAGAAAAAAATATTACTCACTAGTTTTTAGTACCATACTCCCCTGAATTCAACACAATCAAAGAGTTCTTTTCAATGTTAAAAATCCAATTTCAAATTCACGAGAAATGCTAATCCCGATATGACTGTTGAAGAAACTCTAGAATATATTTTATCACCTGATAATAATTATAGTCAACAGTGCAATGCCTTTTATATAAATATGAGAAGATGGTTGGAAAAGGCAATAAGAAGAGAAGAGTTTATCTAATTAAAATATTTAAAATGATTTGTTTATTTTTTTTAATAATGTATATTTTTGCATGCCTTTTTAAAATATTATGATTAAATAATGAATACTATTTTTAAAAAATTATGAAAGTATTTAATCTAGAAAAGTTATTGATATATAACAATATGCTAAATTAAGTAAAAATGTAAAGAATTTTCACTAACTAATCACTTTTTAGAAAAAAAACAAAAAAAACAAAAAACACTTATTGATTGCTATGCTGTAATTTAATTTAATATTTTGCGCAATATTATTAAAGCTAAAAAAATAATTTCCAAAAAAATGAATATGCACTTATAACTTTGCAAGCGCGCACTTATAACTTTGCAACCGTGCACTTATAACTTTCCAAACATGCACTAAACAAGCACATACAACTTTGCAAAACCCTGTATTATAAACGTACCTATTTGCGTCAACGTATAAAGATTAGGCGTTTAAGTACAGTCTTGATGTCGTTTTCTTATTGTTTACGAAACAAAAGGTTACGAGCAAAGTCCGAAGAATTTCAATGCAGTTGAACTTCCATCTGTTTTATAATTCTATGGTTAAACTAATCCTAGACAATGACTTAAAACTTACATATTAATTTCATAATCAAACCTTATAAATGTAAGTAGAGTTTGTAACTGTAACAGATGTAACACACAAACACACAAACATAATAAAAGTTAGTATTTAAAATGTTCATCCAATTTGTTTTTGAATTGTTTGATACTGACAACGTCTATTGTTTGTTGTTTAAGATTGCTGCAGTCGTTTTCTTTTTCTTCTTATTTTTTTTTTCTTTACTTATTTTTGTTGTTGTTGTTGTTGCTATTATTGTTGTTGCTGTTGTTGTTGTTATTTTTGTTGCTGTTGTTGTTATTGTTGTTGTTGTTATTGTTGTTGTTGTTTTTGTTGTTGTTGTTGTTGTTGTTGTTGTTGTTGTTGTTGTTGTTGTTGTTGTTGTTGTTGTTGTTCACATCGGAAAAGGAGTTTGCCATTTGATAAGTCATTTTAATTCAATAAGAGCAAATCGATACTTCAATTAATCGGTTTTCTTTCATAATTACTATTTAATTTTTTATACAAGTTATGTTGTTTTATTATTTTTTCAATATGGATTAGTATTTAATAAGTAAGAAGCTTGATTTTAGGTATTAACTTTTAATGAATGTAGGCATCAACATTTTTTTTTACTTTTTAAATATTTAAATATTTACTTTTTACTATTTAAATAAAACACCAGTCTACCAATCTAGCAAAAATCAAATTTCAAAAACAGGGAAATGGAATTTTAGCTCAAAAATCGGTTCCGTAAAACACGGAACCAATTTTTGTGTTAAAATTCTATTAACGCGATTTTTTTTTGTTTGTTTAGTATAGTTTGTCGTTGTACATTTAAATAATATATGTAATAATAAAAAAATACTAATAACAGTTATCTTTCACAAATTTAAACGATATAAACAAGGTAACTGAAAAAAGATCACGAAGATCTTCAGATCTTCGTTTTTTTAATGCATCAATAAGTTTCTTACAATAACGAGATAAAATGAATGAATAATCTGTTTACAATGATGAAAGAAAATAAACTTTATAAAGTATATACTCTAATACAAAAAAAATATATAAACAAAGTAAAATGACTTAATATAAACAAAAACAATTTTCTTAGAAATAATAGAAAGTTAACAATTTCAGTATGTTACTATTGGTAGTACATAAGTACGTTGTCCATGGAAGGAATAAAACTTTTAAGTTTAGCTTTAAAAACAGGGTAAGAAGAAGGTAAATCAAAGTTTTACAAAATAACCTTATTCCAAATATATATACGACATGGTGTACGATAACCAATACATAATTGATTAAACTTGGTTTGACAAAAAATTTTGTTTAGCGAATTACTATTTCTTAGGGTATATTTATTGACAGATTTTAAAGTAAAGATATTTTTAAAGACGTTGGAACTAAGTTTTTTTTTCCACTTATATACAAAACATAAGATATTGAATACATTTAATACATATATGTTAAGTAATCTCATTTCGTTCAAAAAAGGCTTTAAATGAGTAAGGCGATCCGCAAAATTAATAAAACGAATTGCGTGCTTCTGACGGTTACCAAGACGTTTCAGTCTATTTTTATTAGTACTTCCTCAGACAATATTTGCATAAATTAAATAGTTATGGATAAACGAGTAGTAAAGTTGGGACAAACTCTTTTTATTTAAATAATCTCTGGTTTTATACAAAATTCCAATATTTTTTAGAAATTTTGGTACAAATGTAATCAATGTAATATTTCTATGTAATGTGTTCATCCAGGACAACTCTAAAGAACTTTATAACACAGTCTCTTTTAATCTCAATTTGGTCGATAAAAATTGGAGGCAGTTTTATGGGTAGATAACGCTTTTTTTTAATCGAATGGAAAATAATATATTTAGTTTTATTGATTTTTATAGTTAATTTGTTACATTTGAATCAGGAAGAAATGTTTTTAAGCTCGTCATTCATTGTAGAAAAAGATTTAAGTCATTAATATAAATTAAGAAAAGAAGTGACCTTAATATTTTGCCGAACACCACAGGTTATATGCAATAAATCCTTTTGATAAACATCATTACAGGAAACATAATGTTTTCGGTTTGATAAATAACTTTTGAACCACTTTATTACTCTGTTATTTACTCCATAGTGCTTAAGTTTATGAAGTAAGATGGTATGATCAAATGTATCAAATGCCTTTGAAAGGTCAATAAAAATACCAAGTGTGTATTGAGAATTTTCAAAAGAATTTAATATCTCATAACCTTCTAACACCTTCTTTAATATCGGTTTAACTTTTGCGGTTTTTAATTGATCTGGAAAAATTCCCAGACGTATTGACGCTTTGAAAACTTTAAGAGAATACCTTTTAGTTTTTCAAAACAGTCTACAACTATATTACCATCAAACTCTTTAAAAAATAATTTTAATAATTAGAATTAATGCAATCATTAATTGGTACTAAAAAATCACTAAATACAGCTTGGGTGATTGGAACTTTTGTTGCCAATTTAGGACCAATTCCAAGAAAAAAATTATTAAATTAACGAGCTATTTCCTTTGGCTCAAAAATACATTTGTTATTGATTTTGATGACTTGAGGCAGGAAACCTGAAAGTGAACGCAGTTCTTTTACACCTTCAATTCTCAAATTATTCCTTAAGAATTGCGTTCACTTAATGAGATACTTACAATGTTTTCGTCAATCATTTTCTCAAAGTTATAATCTGCGATCAAATATCTTCTATAACTATTATATTAAAAAAACTAAAACCCGGGGTTCTGATTTTTTTAAGTATGTCACAGGGTCCCAAAACATGGAAAAACTTGAAAAATTAAAAATTAAAAAACTTAAATGGAATATCGTCGTTTAAACGGCAAGCAAAGCTTAGTCTTAGTTTATAAAAATGATTGCAATAAATAAAAAGTATAAGAATATAAAAAGTAAAAGTAAAAATAAAGAAAATAAAATATAAAATTAAAAAAAGAAAGTAAAAGATTTTTTTGGGAGTTTTAAACCCAAAAATGCTGAATCTTCTTTTTTTTTAGGTATTAAAGTTTAGTCTGAAAATTCTTTTTTTTAGGTATTAAAGTTTAGAAAAATAAAAATATATAATAGTTATTATACCAGAATTTATATTAAAGTTTACATCAATATTATATCAATGTACTAATATCATATTTATGTATATTTATCCATCTAATACGTATTAAATTTGTATAAATATTTTGTTTTTTTCACGATAATAAATGTATATTTTATATGGTATACCTGGAGAAGTAAAATTAAAAAATAAAAAATAAATAAAAAAAAAAAAAAACAATAAAGAATGAATAAAAGGTAGTGTAGATAAAGAATGAATAAAAGTGTAGATAAAGGTTGTTTAAAGAGAAAAAAAAGAAGTTTTTATTTAAATAAAATAATAAAAACCGGGAAAAACAAAGTTTTTATACCAAATGTGAAGTCTATTTTTAACAAAACATCCTCATTTGATGCGTAAACGTATAATTACATATATATAAACGTTAAATATTTGAGCGTATAAATTCGCTATACCTTCTTCTACCTTTCCCTCCCCCACCTCCCTTATGGGACTGTTATATTCGCTTTAAGGCCTAGTGTATTTAGCCGGTCCATTTGCAAATATATGGAGCTTTTTTTTTTTTTCATACCTTATGGAAAAATTTTTAAGATTTTGTTACCCTTATAACAGATTTTTTTTTTTTTTGAGGGAGGGGGGGGGGAGGGGGGGGAGGCTTGGAATCAGAAACCACGCCACTGGTCATAAGTCTTTGATTTAAAAAAAATAGTCAAAAAAATATCAAGTTATTTATTTTTTTATTATATTTTTTTATTCTTTTAAGATTAAAATAAAATTTACAAACCTCATTCTAGGTGGTTTAGGTGGTAAAAAGCTATCACAATTCCTAAAAAAGCTTAGAAATAGCTTGTTTTAAATTTAAATTTGAATATTTTTTAACAAAATTGTCTGGCTTTGACGCAACGGGTTTTTAATATAAACCTGGTTTCGAGCCAGGTTTATATTAAGAGTCACTATAACACAGACCAATAAGTTTTTATAATTTGTTTTTTTCTGTCACTTCGCTTATAAAATAAAACTTCAAAAACATTTATAGTTTCTAATTGATCTAATATTTTTTATCACTTACTATAACCACAATGACGCAAACACGCAGAATATGCAAGATTACGATTTGTTTTTTAATTTTTTAGAGTGACGTCACTAAAAATACAAAAGTAGCAAATTAGTTAATTATCAAAGCAAGTTTATTTTAGTTAAAAGAAAATATATCTAAATTTAATCAAAAAATTATTTATGCACTTATCATAAAAATAATCGTAATTATTTAAAAATACTACTACTAGTCGTTTTTCATAATAAAAATTTGCTGGGAAGTTTTTGAAAAAAATACAATATCATAAAAATGGCTGACAGGGTAAGTTTAGTTTTTGAAAATATTATGATTTAAAAATTATATATATATGTATATAACATATATGTATACATGTATATATACATGTTATTGTATACATGTATATATACATGTCCAATTTTATTTAATTATATATATAATAAAATAAAATTGTATATTTTGCATCTATTATAAGATCTTTTTTACTTAATCTATTTTTATTTAAGATACTAAGTTTAAATTGTTATATTTTTAAATAACGATTAAGGATTGTGAATTAAGAGAAAAAAAAAAAGAAAAGTCAATGCTGCAAACCAAAATAATTATATTTTTACATAAATTATATCAAAATATCTACATACATATATTTTAAACATTATTATTATTTTTATTAATTTTTTATTGAAAATTTAAAATTAATTCAAATTTAATGACAGAATTTCAGTTATCATAAATCATAAAAAATTCTTTTAGCGTTGAGAAATAATGACCACATAGTTTTAAAAATGCCGCAAAATTTCATGCGTAAAAGTTTTATTACAGCTGTTAATTCTGAAATAGTTTTAATCAAGATTCCTACTTTTTTTTTTAAATGCGTTTGAATTATTTTAAAATTAGAGATTAAATAAATGTATTTTGTCCACTTTTTAATTGTGTATTTTTATATGTTAACAAAATTTATCACGTATTTTTATGTATAAATTAATTATCAATAAAAATATAAATTTGATTAAGGTGGCTCACCCCCTTTAAAAATCAAGAAGGATTTTTTTTTTTTGACTTTGTTTTTAATCATTGACGTACAAATTCAAAAATATATTTTTAATATTTTGTGCTTTAAAAGTAACAATAAATACATTTATTGTGGTCAATGCACTTTAGTAACACCATAGCAACGGTGTAAACAACTAAGTTATTCATTTAACTTCTTGATGAAGTTTTGAAGTGTTAAATCAATTATGCTTTTCTACTGTTCTCTAAAGTATTGTATTTAAAAAATCTGCTCTACTTCATTATTATAATGTTATTAAACTAAGAACTGTCTGTCTTAATTTAACTAAAAACATATTTATCTGGATATGGATACTAAAGAGTATACAGTCAGAGCAGAGGAGCTAAGTAGTTGTAGTAGTAGCTAGATAGCTCAGTTGGTTAGAGCGTCAAACGAAAAGTTGAAACTCGGACTCTTGTACTATACGAGTTCAAATCCTGCCACTGCCAACTCAGCGCTTGAGTGCTTAGTACTTCGTCACGAAAAATGTTGGTCAATAACTGACTCTACTTTGGATTAGTCTTAATTTGTGGTTGTTCCTATGCTAAGCCAACAATATCTTCGTATAATAAAAAAAAAGTAGTCATTCAGAAACAACAAGTACATTAAAGCTTTTCTTTCAATTTTTTCTTAATTTGTAAGTTTAGAATTATTAAAAATATATTTGAACAGTATTCTACATGCAATGAGTGTAATTGCAAGCTAAATGTTTTTCATAATGAATCTATATACGTATGGGATTTTCTATTATTATTATAATTCTATTATTATTATAATTATTATCCAATGTTCAAACTGTGACTTTGAAAGTACATTGTATTCATCTCCATTTAAAAATCGAAGAGTTTTGGGCTCAAAACCAAATAAAATGAATTTACATGTGGTTATGACATTGAAAAGCTACACACACTTGCCAAGTTAATTATTTTGGCTCAGTGGGGTCGATGGAAGTTGCTGGAGCTCAAGAAGTATTCCAATCGTTTATACAAAAGTATATTTTAAGATATACTAAGTACCTTGGAGATAATGACTCAATTTATTTTCTGATGTTGTTATAAATAAATTATATTATGATTGTATAATGGAAAAGTTAGAAATTTTAGTATTGGCCATTATCAGAAAAAAGAGTATGAAATGATGCAAAACTACAATGATTCTTAATATGGCAGTTTGCCCTAAAGCTACTTTTACAGAAAGAAAAGTTCTTGAAATATCTGTTAATTTTTCTGTTTTAAATTATAAAAATAGATTTTCTTTAAGTTGCATTTTTAAAATACTTACATTTCCTGGAGGTGTTTATTTTAAAAAAGGGGCTTTCAAAAAAGATAAAAGCGTTTATCAAATATATTGACTGTTTAATTATGAAAAACTATTTATATAAAATGAAGAAACCATATTAAGATTCATTTCTTATAAGAATGAGACAAAATCAGTAACTTGAAATAGTTGAGATATTGGATTTTCTTGAAAATATCAGGGATATCTTCGAATCATTTCATAAGAAAAACCTCAAAATTTAAAATTCTTTGAATTATGTTCAAAAGATACTACAATTTGAAGTTTCATAAAACGTTGACTTGATCATTTTTCAAAGTTGTCCATGTTTTGATGTAACAATTTCATGCAGTTAAAAAAGTTGTTTGAAATTAGAGAAAGAACTTTTATAAACGAATATAATATAAAGTTTTATACATTAAGGGATAAAATTGAGTTTTTAAAATATCTACAACATACTTTTTCCCGTTACCAAAAACTACCCCAAGAGCGTTTAATAACGCAAACTCTGTACTTTTGAACACCAAGTCTCTGGTTAATCAAAGCTTATATTGGTATGTTATGAGTTTTTAAGAAAAAAAAAACTGTTTTTTTTTACTGTAATTATAGTCGAACTAATTAAAACTCAACATTCTAAAATCTAAAAATCATGTCTCAAAACCTCACCTGCTTTAAAAGCGATAAAATTTATGCTAATTTTGAGAATTAAAAGATCAATGTGCCAACGAGCAATTAAATTATAGTTTTTTGTAAATGGTTTATACACCTATATACTTTCAACAAATTAAAAGACTTCAATAGGTGGTTTTGCTTATATGAATATATCTTTATTATAAAATAACTTTCAACAGAAAAAAAAACTGCTGTTAGAATAGCTACCTATTTAATAAATCAAGTTTTTCAATTTTGGTTAGTCTCAGGTAATTGTTTAATATTTGAAATTTGTTTCTTTGTGAACCCTGAATTCTAATATATCTTACTTATTTTAGCTATAAAAAGTAGATTTAGGATTTAAATTAAATTATTTAATACCTTTAAAAAAGAAAAATAATTACCTTAATTTTTTTATTAGTGTAGGGAAAGTTGGGACACAGTGGATTGGATTTCTCTATTTTTAAATTAAGAAAAAGTTAAAATATGTATATTATTTTTTTCAAGGCGAAAGGATTGAGATATATGTTCTTCATAATAATAAATTACTAAAACCCAAATATTTGTTATGTAACGGCTCACAGAAAGGTTTAGAGAGAGTTATGTTAAGTTATTTACTGTGCCCCAGTATTGGGACATAGTGAATCAATGATCACAGCTGTGAATTAATTGTAGTAAATAGAGGCATAGCCAAATAAATATGAAGCTGTACACTAAAGTTTTGGCATAATTTTAATAATTAGATTAGTGTAAAGTCGAAAACATAAATATTTTTAAAATTGTGAAGAAAAAAAATAATTTTATTGATAACAAAACTTATAAAAGTATTAAAAAATTAAAAAGTTATTCAAAACTTAAAACCAATAAATTCATTTTTATGTATTTTGATTGTTCAAAATGGCAATGATACCACATGATATCTTTAAGATCATTAATTGAACATAGTTAATCAATCTATTTACTGTACCGCGATTCACTGTGCCCCTCCATATCAAGTTTAAGTCTAATTTATTGGAACAAAAGTGTTGTTAAAAGAAAAGCTAAACTACTAAAAGGAAGCATAGATATTAATAACCCGAATGAAAAACTTCAACTTTTAAAACTATTTCAACGATGATCTCCATAGCAAATATAGAGAAGGTAAGAAAATTTACTTTAGTTAGCTAAAAACAAAAATTACCTGCCAAAAACTTGTAGCCAAATATTTTGTGGTAACAACTATATATAAATACGGCACTATATATATATATATATATAACAACTATATATAAATATAAGCACATAAAATGATTATACTGCTAAGATGAATAAAATTCTAATATTTGAGAAAATGTCTCTTATTCACTGTACCCCTCGATCCACTGTACCCCAACATCCCCTTCATATTATTATAATATTTATAATACTATTTCTATAATATATTTTTATTATTATGTATAATTTAACATTATACATATATAATATAATAGTCTGCTATTTTCATGATACAATTCATGAAAAATCCTACATATTGGTTACTTATAATTCAACATCTAAGTTGTGGAAAGTGTAAGGACATTTTTGGACGTTTCGTGGTTTATGATTTTTATAAATTTACAAATATTCTTAATTATTTTCTATCAAAATGCCTAATAAATAACATTTTTTATAAATATATTATAAGGTTTTGTAATGATACAAAATGCTATTTATTTTCTGAAGGTTCATGAGAGGAAAATCTAAGATCAAGACGAACTGGATTATCTAAATGCAACAAATTAACACAAGTGTTAGCTGATGGATTCACCAAAATCATCTTACTGAGTTGCGAATACATGAGAACTAAGTGTTGAACAAGTTATATGGGCTTTTCAAAAACAGAAGTACAGACACTGGTATGTACCAAAGCAATGTTTGCATCCGTGTTGCTCCTCCGACAAATAATAAAACAGACAAACAAAAAGATCTCCGAAAAGCAACAAGTGACCAGTAAGAAAATATTAATTAATGTTTTCTTGGTTCTTTTCCAGTATCTGGTCGACTGTGCAGAATACAACAGCATGTTTCTAAATCATGACTAAATAGAGAATGATTCTACTTAAATTTTTTTTTTTTTTTTAATTTCTTTTATTTAGGTGCCCCAAGAAGTCCTTAAGGTCTTATCGCAGAGCACTGAGGATGAGCATTTAATCATAAGTTCACTCTTCCTTCCTAACTAATATCGCAAAAATTGCCCAGAGGTGGGGTTTGAACTACGGATCCTTTGTTTCTGAGGCAAGTGCGCTACCACTGCGCCACGGCTGCTCACCTTTGGCTTGGTCAACACACGGCTGCTCAACTTTGGCTT